TCCGCGCCAGCCATCCGAATGGTGGCAAGAATTCGCCGAGCTCGGTTGCAGTAGTCAGTCGCGGTCTCCTCGTCGCCCATACGCAGGTGCGTCAACTGCCCCTCAAGTTGGGTGATGAACAAGTCGTCGGTGACCTGGTAAGTTGACTCTATGAAATGCCACGCCCGGTGGCCAGCGTCGAGGTACTCCCTTACGACTTCAGGGCGATCTGTACGCCCGGCGAGCAGCACCGCGAAATGACCGTAAAGGTCAGCAACTGCACGGCGCGAAATTCCGCTCGCAGGTCGGGGTAGTGCTCCTCCGGCGTCGCCACGGTCCCGCGGGCGAAGCCCATCAGCCCGGCCATCTCCAGCTGGGGCTCGATGGCTTCCTTCCACGTTAGGATGTCAGGACGACCGACCAGCGGAGGTGAGACCGAGATCCTGTCCGGCGTAAACTTGAAGTAGCCGTAGCTCGGCGCAATTCCTCCCGCGGTCACGTGAGTCGCCGACATCGGCGCCAATTCACTTCGTCTGCCTCCGACGTAGTTTCGCGGGGCCCCTGCAGCTGCCGATGACTGCATACCTCGTGCCTGAACGCCGCCGACTTCATCGGCGTGAATCACACCTCGCTGCCTCGACGTGCCTCCCGCGCTGCTACCGACTTGGTCACCCGCGGCGTTGACTCCCGCGTCGACGCCGCCTGCGTTGTTCACCGGTCGAGGAGATGCAGACCGAGAAGGGGGGTGCTCCGCCGCCCACAAGGCGCGGATGCCAGCCTCGACGACCGTCAGCGGGAGAGTTCCGTACTCGTTCGCCGCATGACGTCTCCTCGCGTCCTCCAGCCGTGCTTCCAAGGTGTCCACGACACCCGCCTCTGCTACGGGGTCCACCATGGCGTCCAACACAGCCGCCGGTCTACGAACAAACTAGGTGAGTGAGAAGTCAGCTAAACCGAAGGTTTCTTCGCGGTGTCGTCCACGCTCACCGCACCATGCGGAGATAACTAGTGCAACGGGAGCTAGACTACGGGCCAGGCACGGATGCTCGTGTGATCTTTGCGTTCATTCGTTCCTTAGTCGTTTCCAAGTGCTAACACTGCTTGCTGGTTCACGGGGAAAATTGGCAAGAGTTTCACTAGGAAAACATAACAACAAAAGTTCATAATGATAGCATCAACATTGGCAACACATACTACATCAGACCTAGCAAGGCTGCTGGTCGACTGCCAGCGCAGCACGGTCAATCGCGTGCCAGCACGACTTGGTCGACCGCGCTCCAGCAGAGTCGCGGCTTGCCAACGTTGCAAGTCCGCGATGTGCCAACGCTGCAGTAAGTCGGCTGCACAGCGTTGCACCCGCTTGACAATGGTGCACCAGCTTCGCAGGTGCGTGCAGCTGGTTGGCGCCCAACTCCCCGTCACATGCCCAGCGCAGACACTCCACCCGTGACGGCGCCCACCAGCCACGTCGACCTCGGGATACCACCCCAAGGTCGTCCTTGCTAACAACGCCCCCCAGCGACTTTCGCGCACATCGCCCGGGTATCCTGGTTGACCGGGTATTTCGCAGTCCTCCCGCGGTTTCGCGGCCCCCACGGTCCTCCCGCGGTTTCGCGGCTCCCACGGTCCTCCCGTGGTTTCGCGGCTCCCACGTTCCTCCCGCGGTTTCGCGGCTCCCACGGTCCTCCCGCGGTCGGCTCCGCTCAAGCGAGGACGGGGCCAAACACAACTCCCGTTGACATCCAGCACCTAGAGCAGGGGACTCTATACCTGGGTCGGGCGGTACGCACAGGTAACAGGCACCGTCAGCACTAGTAGGCAATGCATACATGGCAGTGAGAATAGCATCATAGTCAAGAGCAAAGATATCTACCCTCTGCCTAAGCAGCTCCAGCCAAGTGGGGAGCTCAGCCTCGGCCAAACTCGGTACGCCAGGCGTCGCTCAGACGGGCGAAGCAGCGGGACTGTGTGTGACTAAGCGTCCCACAAGCCTGACCAGCCCGATCACCTGTGTGAATGACGTACGGGCAGCGAACAGTACTCCGAGACCCTCTACTCTGAGCGTACCACTCGTGAAGCTGCTGGGGCGTAAGTGTCTCGCGCGGGCGCCGCTGCAGCTGCAGCTGGCCACTGCCAATAGCAGCAGTAGCACTAGTAGCAGTAGTAGTAGTAGCAGCAGCCTAGCAGCAGTAACAGAGGTAGCAGCAGTAGCAGCAGTAGCAGCGTGGGCAGGGCAGGCGAGGCAGGCAGGCAGGCAGGCAGATAGCGCTGCAGCGCGCTAACAAGGCAGACGCGCGGGAAGCGCGGGTAGGGCAGGTTCTCACCAGTGGTGGGAAGGGCAGGCGCACGACGGCGGGGCCGCAACAGCGGCTGCAGAGTAGGGCCGCGTCAGCTGTAGGGCTGGGGCCACGACAGCGGCAGGGCAGGGCCGCGGCAGTTGCTGCAGGGCGGGGCCGTGTCGGCAGCAGGGCGGGTCAGGCGAGGCCGCGTCGGCGGCAGGGCGGGGCCGCGTCGGCGGCAGGGCGGGGCCGCGTCGGCGGCAGGGCGGGGCCGCGTCTGCGGCTGGGCGGGCCGCGACACGGCGGCAGGACGGGGCCGCGTCGGCGAGGCCGCGACCTGGCGGGGCCGCGTCGGCGTCAGGACGGGGCCGCGACAGTGGGAGGGCGGGGCCGCGGCGACCGCAGGGCGGGGCCGCGTCAGCGGCAGGGCGGGCCGCGACACGACGGCAGGGCGGGGCCGCGTCGGCGGGGCCGCGACCTGGCGGGGCCGCTTCGGCGTCAGGGCGGGGCCGCGACAGTGGGAGGGCGGGGCCGCGTCGACGGCAGGGCGGAGCCGCGTCCGCGGCAGGGCGGGGCCGCGACAGCGGCCCGGCGGGGCCACATCGGCTGCAGGGCGGGGCCGCGCTCTGGCCTGACGGGCCTGCAGGGGCGGCTCGCGGGTCTGACGGACTTGCCGGGGCGGCTCGCGGGCATGACGGGTCTGCAGGGGCGGGGCGCGGGCCTGACGTGCCTGCAGGGGCGGCTCGCGGGTCTGACGGACCTGCAGGGGCGGCTCGCGGGCCTTACGGGCCTGCAGGGGCGGCGCGGTGGCCTTATGGGTCTCTAGGGCGGTGCGCGCGTAGCTAGGGCAACAGTAGGCAGCGCAAGGGCTGCAGAACGGCGCGCGAAGCGCAGCACGTCACAAGGCAAGGCAGGCGAAGGCTAGTGCAGGACAACACGTGGGGTAGCGCGGTAACCGCAGTGGTAGGTGGGCCCGGAAAAAAAGACGGTCCTACGGACCTAGTGCTCTGATACCATGTCAGAATGTAGCAGCAGGAATGAATGAACTATGAAAGAGTTGGGTACAAATGTGAAACCCTAATGGGGTTGTACCCCATGTTGGCTACCCCACTACAGCCTACACATATATAACATACATATAATTTGACATTACCCACTCCGGGTGCCAGATCGAATGGATTACTTTCTCCACCCGTTGCGCAAAAGGCGTTCAACGCTTAGCTAAGTTTTGCGATTTGGTGAGAGTTCCGTTTGCGGTGCTTGGTCTGAACGAAACCTGGAAGGGACTTGGCGGGCGCGTGAGATACTATCGGGAGTATTTGAGATCGCTCCTGCGTGATCGCATCGTAATTGTAACAGATGCAGACGACGTCTTGTTCCTGCCTAATCGTGAGCTATGCGCACCAGATCAACTCGTTAAAGCATTCCTTTCAATTAACGCTCCTGTCGTTTTCGGAGCCGAGATTTTCGCGTATCCAACCGCCAATGCAATGTCGTTTTACTCTCCAAAGTTCAAGTTCCCGCCTTTTCCGAATCTGTACCTTAACGCAAGGGTTTATGTCGGGTACGCATGGGCAGGCCCCACGTTATCAGGGCAAAACATCCTGATTACCCTGAATTCAGGATGCAGTTTTAAATTTACCCTGTCATTTCAGAATAGTGTAAATTTCAACCCTGAGGTCTCAGGATGTTTTTATATGAAATGCCCTGAACATTCAGAATGGCTGTAGTGTTCTTCTCTGTAGCGTCAGGATGAATGCCGAGGCCTGCCCTGACGCGTTTTTTGTTTGCGGGGGGAGGGGGGGAAACCCGTGGCTAATTTATTCCATAGGACTTATTCAACTCACCAAGACATCCAGAAGTGGCAGTCAATAGAAAGGTACCGTTAGATGAGGTCCTGGGATCATATCCACCCCCTTGCACAAGTATAAATAACTTCAACTCTTACTCCGTCAATCAACCAACCAGAACCCTGAACACTTGTTTTTTTTCCCTGACAGGTCAGGATTGATTTCTGAAAAAGCCCTGAACATACAGGAAGGCTTTGAAAATCTGCCCTGACAAATCAGGGCATTTTTTACGATTCTGGAAAGGTGCCCTGAGGCCTCAGGGTGCCCCAAATCCTAGCACGGGCCCTGCGCGTGGGCTTTATCTGAGATGATTGATGCGACCGTGCGACGTACACGAGTGACTGTATGGAGGACCAGCGACAGTTTATTTCTGGTTATTTGGCCCAACCGTACCTCTTCAACTCCCTCCCACGGACGCCTTACCCTGAAACAAAATTCGCTTCGATACAGTCACTTCTTTCCCAATCAACAGCATTAGCTGATGTAGTCACTTCTTTCCCAACAAGTTAAACTAATGCAGATAGAGAACTACATATCGCCTCCTCCCCCCTCACACCTGCTCCCGGCACTCTGAAATACCTCTGTGCTCTACCCGGCCCGTTACAAGACCTGATCCCAGAGGATGTCACTCCGGAGAAGCTAGAGGCGGCCAGGCAGGCAGCGCCAGCGCCGTTCATCAAGCTGGACCACTACAACGCTCTCATGGAGATGCTGGGAGGGTGGCAATTCGAGCAGTTTGAAGTGCAGGGCTCGGGGACAGGGCCCAAAATAGGTTTAGGTCCACTCTTGCAAATCAGGGTACCAGGCCCCCCGTACCCTGACCCTTAGGGTAAAAATTTCAGTACCCTGATGCCAGCACACCATAGATTAAAGTAGTCCAACAATACGGGGTTCATTCCCTCTTTGCCCGTCTGCTCTTCACTGCCCCATTCATCCCCCCACTACCACCACCGACACCACTCCCCCCAGCTGCATACGCAGCTGCCATGGCTGCCGTGATCTGCCCCCAGCAGCGGCAGAGGATGGCAAAGGGGACCACAATCCACACGGCGTTCATCGCTATAAAGTACCCCCAGAAGTAGATCGGGTCCGGATGGCAGTGCTTGGAATCTTCCAGGAAGCTTGTCGCAAAGTAGATGACGTCGCCGTACAGCTGGCCGAGGGAGACGGCGAACTGGAGGAGCGGGGAGAAGGGGCGCCGCGACGCCATACCATATCTGTGGGGTGAGGTTGGGTTGGGGTGGGTTTGGGTGGGTTTGGGTGCAGAGAATGAGAACGGAGGGCTTGTCGCGAAGCAGATGACGACGCCGTACAGCTGGCCGAGGTAGACGGCGAACTGGAGGAGCGGAGAGAAGGGGTTTCGGGCTGCTATGGCATACCTGTGAGGGAACGGTGGGTTTGGGGGAATGGGGGATCAGGAAATTACTTAAGAAAATTCTTCCGCCATGCTTCTGTTCCGTGCCATGCTTGTGTAACCTTTGTGATGAGGAGTGTACCCTCCGTGGCATGAGGGCAGGAGACAGAAGAGGGAAAGTGGGGGATGATAGGAAGGGTGGTACGAGAGGAGGGACGGGAGGGGGGAAGGGAGGAGGGACGGGATTCCGAAGACGGAGGACAGAAGGGAGGAGGGACGGGATTCCGAAGACGGAGGACGGAAGGGAGGAGGAAAGGTAAGAGGGAATGAGGAAGGAAGGGAGGAGGTATGCGGGGAAGTGGACGGGTAATCGAACGTCTTACTGGATAAGGCTCACAGCAGCGGGCCCTTCGATGAAAGCAGTGACCGACTCAGCGGAGAGCACACATCCATCTTGCGTGGTGCGGATTGTGGTGCCAGAAAACAGGCATCAAAAGCCTTTAGCAGAGGCCATTCAGCAAAAGGTTGACAGCTCAAGGGTCACTCACAGGATGAGGAAGCAAGCAGGCCCTTCAATGAACGCAGTGACTGCCTCAACAGAGAGCACACAGCCGTCTCGTGTGGCATAGCGCGAATCAGCCTTGCTGTACTCCTTCCCTGCAAGGGGTGGTGCGAGAGCGGAGCAAATGACATTGCGTTTCGGCTGGCATAGCGTGAATCGCCTTTGCTGTACTCCTTCCATGTGAGGGGTGAGGCGAGCGCAGGGCAAGTGACAGGGTAGGGCAGGGCAAGAGTGGCAGAAGAATAGCGGGGAACAATGAAAAAGCACGCATCCATCTCGTGTGCTATAGCGAGAATTAGCCTTGCTGTACTCCTTGCCTGCGAAGGGAAGAGGGGTGGCAGGTGAGAGGTGACAGGAGGCGGGGAAAAGGGGGGCAGGTGACAAGGTAAGGAGAGGTACCAAGAGTGCATACAGGCATAGCGAGTGGCATAGCGCGAGTCGGCCTTGCTGTACTCCTTCCCCGCGAGGGATGGTGCGGGATCAGGGCGGCAGGTGACAAGGTAAGGAAAGGCACGGTCAGGAGGTTTGGGACCGCAACGAATGTGCCTCTCAACACCACTTGGACTGCGCTCCCCGCCCCAACACTGCGCCAACGCAAGCACCAGCGTCACCCCAATGCAAGTCCTTACCGCAAGAGCAATCGCACCCCCCCCCCCCCCCCCCCCCCCCACACACTCGCAAGCAGGCGGTACGTACATGCGTCTAATAGAAAGGCGTTGCTGGTGCTGCTCATGAGGTCCGGGAATGCAACGAACGTGCCTTCCAGCACCACGTGAATCGCCCCCGTCACTGCCCACCAGCAGAAGATGGCCCTATCCAGAGCCGACATGTGGCGACAGGATCCTGACGGCGGCGGCGGGAGGAGGGGAGACCGGAAAGGGGGGAGAGGGGGGGGGGGGGGAAAGAGGGGGGGGAGGGGTGGTGGTGGTTGTGGGGGAGGAGGAAAGAAGATGGCGCAGTCACGTCCCTCCAGCAGAAGATGATGAGCGTATAAAAAAGCCGACATTTAACAGCAGGAGCCTGACGGCGGGTGTAGGATTTTTGTGGGAAAACAGTGGGGAGCGTAGGAGGGCATATGAGAGTCGTAGAGAAGGGATGAGAACTGATGGGGCAAGGTTCGGCAATGGCGGAGACGAGAGTTGTCAGGAATGTGATCAGTCGCATGATTCGCATGCTCAGTCGTAAGATCGCAGGATCAGTCGTATGGCTCGCATAAGTCGCACGTCATGAATCGCATGAATGTCACCAATCGCAGGAATGCTGATGGTGAATCACACGAATCGCCGCAGGCTGTCGCATCGTAGTATGCATTGCCTTCGCGCGGTAAAGTCGCGATGACGCGTTATCTTGCATAACACCAGATCTTCAGGTCTGAGCAAACCTACGGTAACCATGTAACAGTGGCCCTACGGGTAACACTGTATCACAGATAAAATATGGACCTATAGGTAACCGAGGGTAACCGTGTAACAGAGGACCTACGGGTAAAGAGCCACGAGACGACGATCACGAGAACGACAGCCGCTCCGAAGACGCCGAAGAGCGCTTCGACGGACCATCCCGAAGGGGAGTAATTAGGGATGACGATGTCGCGCGGATAGTACGGATGATCTACCACGGCTGACGCCATGGCTGCAGTAATGGCGAATGCTTTCCGGACAACACGAAGCGATCACGCACGCCTTTTGCAACGAATGTGAAAGAAATGACCTCATCGTGTCAGTTTGTCAGGTTCAACTGCCTCCCAGCTGCTGTGCTGTTTGAGCGTGTGGGAGCCAGGAGATTGTTTGGCTTTTGGCGGGAATCTGGGGGTTGTTTACACCCTGTTTCTCAACGTTCTGACAATCGGTAGCCCGGGCTACAGTGCGAACGTGCGCTTGGATTTTGCGGGCTGGTGCTTGCAGCCGAGCCCCAGGTAGGTGGCGGGCAAATGCAGTCCATTTGAACGATACAAAACGTTTTATGACAGAACATTGCTAACGCGTACGGTTGAGTGCGGCAAATTGTGCTTATATGCAATGTTCTGGGACCGTTTTGGACGCGTTGATGTCAGAATAGGTGGCATGTCAATACAGCGAATGTCAGTGTGGCGCGAAACAGGGTGTACTTGTGGTGGAGAGACGGCCACAGAACTTTGGAAGGCGGGATCTAGGGGAAAACAGATTTGAAGTGTTGACCAATGAGGTTCGTGCTTGCGTGTTCAGGGCGTGTCTGAAACTAGGAAATTCGTCTTCTAAGTACGAGGAGTGGATAATTGCTAAGCGTGTCCTCGGGTGTTTAGGGAAACAGGGTGTGGGTGCAGAACCGTCGCACCCCCGAACCGTGGCGCATAAAAACTCGCTTGAATAAAAACACGAGTCGTAAGTAAGTCCCACTTCTGGGAATAAGCTGTGATAAACTGACCAGCGTGATCCGCCCTGACGTGTATCGCGCCCTGACGTTTTTGCGAAAATACACGATTTCACTCAAGTTTTCCTCCGCTCTTATGATTCTGTGCTCGTTAATATATCGAGTTCCCCTATAGCACCGTCATTTCTTCGTCTCCTTGATGCTGTTTTTCGTGCAAAGGAACTCTTGGAGCTCCTAGTCTCGTCGCTGAGCCACAGTAACGATTTCATTTGTGTCCATAATCTGGGCTTCGAACGAGGATTCATAACTGACGCATGGAGCACAGGGTGTTCCTAACTTGCTCGTGGATTTGAGAGTACCGTCGTCAGGTGACAAAACCTGGTCTCGCGTGATTAGTGAAAGATATTTTAGCCGTCAGTTACAGCCAGACCCAAGAAAGTGATATCTTCGAGCCCTCTGCTGGCCTTCTCGTCCCATTGATGACCATCGAGGTCGCTAGATGACGACGCGCGAGCTTCTTCCGATTTTTGCGAAGGAAGCACACGGCGGACGGAGTGCTCCGTCCGAGCCGCGTCAGTGATCGGCCCACTTTGCATAACCATCCGTGATGTGTGTTATCGATAGTCGGTGGAGAGTGCTCGATTTGAACCGTTTAGTTGCTGGCTCACCACAGAAGGACTACCACTGAGGTCCCTTGTTGAATCTGCATCTCGAAGCCGATTGGCTGAAAATGGACGGCGGAGATTGCGCCATCCGGGCCGTGTGGGTGGTGGCGCACCACCAAGCGTACGGCGGCCCGTCTGCAGGTTCCTCCGACCCCACCTGCAGCATTCTCTTCTCACGGTGAGCGACTCACGAATCGCCACGTGGCATTGAGTCGCCTCGTGGCAGCGGTTCAATCGTGGTGCTTTACATTGGAGGGCCCAGCTGCAGCAACGTCTTCTTGCGGTGTGGTAGATCCATCCACACCCTCTGTATCAGTACCTACGTCCCGCCTTTTCTCAACTCTCCATCTGCACACGTGTCTATGATCCATTCACAGCCGATTCCCCACGGTGGACCGCCAGTGGCGTCTGCTCTGTGCCACGTCACCTGCCTCTACCGAGCACGCTCCAGTAAGTGCTACAGTAAGCCTCGTTATGAGGCACTGGGGAATAATCCTTGCCATTGGCCCTCTGATGTGTCTGGTCTGCACTAGTTCAGACGGCCACCTCTCTCACATGCAAGCCCTGCTTCCTTCCACTATACTTGCCTCTTCTATCACAGAGCGCTCCTATCTCCAAGTGCATTCAAGCACATCACCGGCCCCTTTCCCCCGTCCCGTCCCCACTGTCCTTCCCCCCGTCTCCCCTTCCCTTCTCACCTCCCTCCCGCCTCCCACAGGTTTCCACAGCTCCTCCAGGAGGGCAGGGCAAGCCCAGTAAGGGACCTCCCCCAGTGACGTACCGCCCGATCCCTTTGGACGATGAGATGAGCATCGCATTCGCACAGCACATGCAGCGGTAAGATGGGGTGGTGATGTGGGGTGGTGAGATCCGCAGCAGGCAAGGGAGTGTGCTTGTCCCCACGAGTGGTGTTGAGATCAGCATTGCATTTGCACAGCACATGCAACGGTGAGAGAGGGTGGCGGGCAGTGGTGAGTGTATGATGAGCGTTGTTCCTGTGCGTGTAGTGCCTCTCACCTCCCCCGGTGACGTACCGCCCGATTCCTCTGGATGGTGAGATGAGCATTGCATTCGCACAGCACATGCAGCGGTGAGAGTGGGTGGCGGGCAGTGGTGAGTGTATGATGAGCGTTGTTCCTGTGCGTGTAGTGCCTCTCACCTCCCCCGGTGACGTACCGCCCGATTCCTCTGGATGGTGAGATGAGCATTGCATTCGCACAGCACATGCAGCGGTGAGTGTGGTGGTGAGAGCAGTAATGGGGTGTGGTAGTGGTGAGGGCCGCTGCAGGCACGTGACTGTGGTTGTTGTGAGTCCCGTCCAATAATTCCCGGTGACGTACCGGCCGATTCCTCACATCACATCGCATCACATCGCATCGCATCACATCGCATCACATCGCATCGCATCGCATCGCATCACATCGCATCTCATTACCTCACCTCACATCTCGTCTCATCACATCCTCGCTCATCCTCTCACTTTATCCTTATCCTCTTCGTCAGCCTGAACTCCTCTCCAGCCATTCGCAGCGCAACATCTGTCATTGGCACAGACGAGTCACAAGTGATAACGTGACTAACGTGTCCCCCTCCCCACACTCTACTTTCTGTACCATCCTCCCAACCCCCTGTTCCGTCTTACCAAACCGTTCCTCTTCATCAGCCTCGGCTCCTCTCCGGCCATTCGCAGCGCGACATCTGTCATCGGCACGGACGAGTGGTTGGACGATCCGATCACGCGCCACGTCATCGGGCTTCACCTCGTCAGCACCACTCCCACCCTCCCCGCCTCCCACTCTCGCACCCAGGCTCAATCTCGCACTCGAACAGCGGCAGGGAAGACTAGAGCAGAGAATGCAGGAGGAGCAGCAGCAGGAGTAGCAGGAGGAGGAGGGGGAGCAGCAGGAGCACGTGCAGTAGAAACAGATGAAGGCAGTGGTGCAACTGAGACAGGAACATCTGCAGCAGCAGAAACATCAGAAGCAGTTCCAGCAGAATCGCGAATCACAAAAGGCAAACCTGAAGAAACACCTGGAAAAACACCCGAGGAAACTCCTGAGAGAGTAACAGACCGGCCAGTCCCCCCCGCCTCCCCCTCCTCCCCCTCCACCCCCTCCTCCCCTCCCCCTCCCCCTCCACCTCCCTCCGCCCCCACCCTCCTCTGGCCAATCATAGTGCACCCCCATTCCAAGGCCTCCAACGTGCACGTTCTCGTGCTGCCATTGGTGGCGCCCTGCCACGTGGCAGCATATGAGAGGCTGTGCTGGCAGCGCAACTGCGGGGGAGGGGCGGGGTTGGCGCATGGGGGAGGGGGAGGGGGAGGAGGAGGGGAGACAGCAGGGGGAGGGGTGGGTGGTTCTGGGGGCGGTGGTACTGGTGCAGGTGGTGCCAGTAGATTCACGCTGTCTGCTTTGCTTGCTGACCTACCTGCTGTGACAGCGTGAGTGATTGAATGGACTACAACTTGCAAGTCTCTCTGCTGCTTGCTTGCAGGTTACCCTTCCACCTTACAATGCAAAACCTTTGTTGTCTTTCATGCCTTTTTTCTCGACTCCTCGCCCTCCTCTCTCCCTCTCCCACCCCCAGAAGAACCATATCCCTCACTCAGAGCATCGAGTCCCTCATCTCTATTAACTGTACCGCCACCCCCACCCCACCGTGCCTTCCTCCACTGCTCTCAACGCCTCTTCTCACCCTTGCTTCCATCCCCCTTCACGCCCCCTCTCCCTTCCCACAGGGCCATTTCCCTCGCTCAGTGCATAGAGTCCCTATCTCTACCGACTCTACCGCCACCCCTACCGTTCCTTCCCCCAACCCAAAGCTCTGTGTCCCTTCTCGCCCTTGCTTCCCCTCCCCTCCCCTCTCCCTCTCCCTTCCCCCAGGGCCATCTCTCTCGCTCAGTGCATCGAATCCCTCATCTCTACTGACGCATCCGCCACTCCCACCGCTACCCCTCGCGCCTCCCCCCTCCTCTCCGCCCCCTCCGGCCCCTCCTCCACCCTCCCCTCCATCTCCCTCACTGGAGGTGGAGGAGGAGGAGGGGGTGGGGGAGGAGGGATGGGAGGGGTGGGTGGTGGTGTGAAGGCTGGTGCTTTGGGCACTAGTACCATTGGCAGCAGTACCAGCTCTGCTGCTGCTGCCGCCGCCGCTGCTGCTGGTTCTGGAGGGGAACTGGGTGGTGGAGGAGGGGGAGGGGCAGGGGGAAAAGGAGGGGCAGCAGCAGGAGGGAGTGGCTTAGGGTTTGGATTTCTGGGGGCGATAGGGGCCAGTATGGGCATGTCCCGAGCCAAGACCGCCCAAACCAGCCAGCTTGGTTCGGCGCCAGGCTTGGGCGGAGGCTCGGGAGGAGGGGATGTGGGGAGGTCGGGTGGTGGGGGAGGAGGTGGCGTGATGCTGCAGCAGCTGAAAGCGGCTGAGCTGGAGGGTATCAGACTGCTCATTTCAACGTACCTCCCTTTTGGTAAGAGATGCGTTTTCTGCTGGTTGTTGTGGATACTAATGCCCTTCAAACGAGGGTTGGGAAGTGGAAGGGACGGTGTGGGTGAGGGGAGGGATAGGCTGCTGCTGATCTAGTGTTGGGGTGCTATTCAGGGCAATTCTCCCTGTAAATCAAACCCCATTTTCCTCCCTGTCCCCACCCCCCATCCCTCCTAATACATGGCCTTGGTTGCGTGCAGGTCGACCCATTGACTTCCCCACCCCTGCCACCATCACCACCCTTCGCACCCAACCAGCTGCCTACTCCCAAGATCTCTCACCTTACTTGCACCCGCCTTCCTCCCCCTCCTCCTCTCTCTATTCTAGCAAGCCCAACAGCCAAACACACCAGCAGCAGCAAGCAGGAAGAGCGGGAGGAGCAGAGGCAGCACTGAAAGGCCTCGGAGGAACTCTAGGCGCGTCAGTAGACTCCCTAAGAGACACTTGTAGGCAGCCGGTGGGGAAACCAGTGCTTTACACCGGAAAACAGAGGGTATCCGTAGCAGTGGTGGAGGAAGTGAGTGTAGCTCTGTATGATAGAGAAGGGGAAGTGGCAGACGTGGTGAATGTAACCGGTAGGGTTACCACACGGTGGGAAGTGGAGGGTCTGCCAGATGTCACGCTCTCATTGGACGTGCCGGAAGATGCATGTGTGGAGTCTCTTGTGGTGCACCCATGCGCTCAGGTGATTTCTCCTGCTGGTTCTCAGGTCAGGTGATGTTTCAGGTGAAACGTTTGCAGGTGAATTTTCAGGTGTTTCTTTATAGGAGTGTTTGACTTTTCCAACCACCACTTCTGCTGCTCACCAGCCTTATTTCTCTCCCTCTTGGCCTCATTTTTTTACCCTTTCAACAGCTTTCAACCAGCACAGTGTCTCCTTCTCCCCGCCCCTAGGGTCAATCGATCTCGTCAACTACCACTGTTGCCTGCCGCTTCCTTTGCTCTCCCTCTCCCCCCTCCCCATCCTCATCCTCCCCCTTTCTCAATCACCCCTCACAGCTGACCAACCAGCACACTGTCTCCTTCAGCCCGCCTCTGGGAGCATTCGATCTTGTCAATTACCACTGCTGCCTGCCCACCACCCCGGAGCAACTACAACAGAAACTGCAGCAGCAGCGGCAACAGCAGCAACAGCAGCAGCAGCAGCAGCAGCAACAGCAGCAGCAGCAGCAAGCGCAGATGCAGCAGCAGCAGCAACAAAGGTTTCCTCCCTCCCCCACCACCCCCTCTGCACCCCCTTCCACCCCCTCGTTCCTCTCCTCCTCCTTCTTCTCCCCCAAACCCCCCACTGCTCCCACCTCTCTCGCCCGCCTTTTAGCCTCCATGCGAACACCTCCTGTCGTTGGCTTTTACCAGAACCAGTTTGTTTCTCCCACCGAGTCCCAGTTTTTACTTAAGCTCCGGATAATGGATGGGTACAAGCCGCCGTGTAACATGGAGCAATGCACATTGCACATGCCCTTCCCACGCCGCCGCATTCTGACGGTCTCTGCGGCGGCCCCATCTTTGGGGGTAGTTACCCACACCGAACACTTGATTGAATGGCGGATTTTTGCGCGGGGTTATTCTGGAAAGACCCTGGAAGTTTCCTTTTCTGGTTCGGTGTTTTTCCATCCAATAGAAGATGGGGGAGAAGAGGGGGGAGGGAAGGAGGAGGGGGGGAGGAAGGAGGGTGTGGGGGAAGGGGTGGAGGAGGAGGATGAGGGAGTGGGAGTGGAGGAAGGAGGGGTTGTGCGCGGTGTGAGGGGGTCTGGGTGGGATGACCCATTTTGTCGAGATGCGTTCGATTATGCCAAGGTGCGTTTTATCATGTTCCATGCTATCTTGGTGGTGGTTTGTTGCTATCTTACGTGTTGCTCCAATAATGCGACGTCATACTTCTTGATGTGGCATAATTATATAATGAGGTATCGTCAACGTTGATGAGGCATTCGGCATGCTATCTTGTGGTTGCATGTTACCAGGTTATGCATGGCTAGGGAGTATGATATGTGATGTTATGATATGATATACAATGATATGATATGATATGATATGATATGATATGATACGGTATGATATGGTATGATATGATATGATATGATATGATTTGATTTGATATGATATGATATGAAATGATATGATATGACGTGAGATGGTATGATATGATATGATATGATATGATATGATATGAGATGATGTGATATGATATAATATGGTTGATATTTGAGAGTGGCAGAGGTACGTGTAAGTCACATACGAGCAGTAAAGAGTGTGACGCATTAGATTGCATGGCTTGATGGTGCCCATTACACATACTTCACGCCCATTCCCTGCCCCACCCCACACTGTCATTCCCCACCCAACCGCCATTCCATACCCAACCCAACTACCAACACCTGACTTCCCTTCCATGCCTCAATGCCAACCATCTCACAGCCACACCAGCCATGCATCTCCCTGTAAAATTTCATGCCAATTCACGAGCTGCCCAAATAACACTGTCGTGCTCTATTTCTTTTACGTCTTACCAGTGTCATCCCTCCCCTTACGGTCATGCTTTCTCCCTTTGATCAACATAAGGTGGCATTCAAGATGCACGGAGGAACAGTCTCAGGCGTTGCAGTGAGCGCAAGCAAGGTGTGTTGACTAGCTCTGGTGTGTTTACTTACACTGGTGTGTGCTGACTTGCACTGCTGTGCTGCACAGGTCTTTGAAATTTAGAAATTCGACTCTAATCTAAAGTCTCCTTGTTTTGGGTCTCCCTGAAACGCCTGCGTTGCTCCCTGTACTTGTCCTGGTTCCATCTTGCACGGCACTGATTGAGGCCATTTAGACCAGATTGCTTGCACACGCATCATTCGACGCAATGTTTGTTTAACAAGTCGAATTACCAAGTCTAGCACCTCAGATCTGCAAGGATACTACACTGAGCTTTTCTCACGTTGGCTTGCTGCAATCTAATCCGTGTCAGATTGCTTGCACATGCGTCATTCGACGCAATGTTTGTTGAACAAATCCCATTACGAAGTCTAGCACCTCAGATCTGCAAGGATACGACACTCGTTGGCCTGCTGCAATCGCATTCCTCTACTTTGCTGTTTTACGTTGTTTTTTTCTGCATGTATGCCTGCTGGGTTCACATTGGGTTCACATTGGGTTCACATTGGGCTCACATTGGGCTCACATTGGGCTCACATTGGGCTCACATTGGGCTCACATTGGGCTCACATTGGGCTCACATCAGATCAACATCTTCCCACCACCAACCAAGACTCCTCCTCTTGAAATCTCTCATCAGGTGAGGTGAAATCTCTCAGCGAGTGAGGGTGAGTGGAGATTGAGGGTGAGTGGAGAGTAAGAATGAGTGAATTTGAGTGTGAGAGTGGAGTGCTGTCATGATTGTCGCTTCTGGTACGAGTGCCGGCTTTCCCACTCACTCCATTCCTAGCGTATACAATGCTTTCATTTACACATCAGGCTTCCCCACCTTTGCGCCTTGCTGTATTGCTGTATTCCCAAAACTACCACCTTTATCCCGTTGTAATTTACTGTACTTTTCCAAAAGGTGCGTTTCCGCTTTTGAATCTTTGTTTGGCAAATGAACAGATCGTGGCAGGAGATTATATTCTCTGGAACAGCTTGGGGAGGCGGCCCCCCACCACAGCAAAGCAACTGCTGCGAAACGCGTTGGCTGCATGAGTGTTGTCCTCGTACCGTATTCTCCGGATAAAACACCCCCCCGTAATTGTACACCCCCGGGTAGCTAATACGGGGTGGGTGTTATATCCGACCCCGTTAGTACTATACCCCCCCTTTTGGGGTGATTCTCTATAAGACCCGGGGGGTGGGTGTTATTGTCAAACTTTATGTTTATTGTTTAGTTAGGCTGTATTGGGGCTAGCTATAGGGGGTACACAATTTCCCTCGACATTCTAGTCTTGTACCCACCTTGACCTAATAACATCATTCTTGCCTAGGTATCTTAACATGGCATCTAGAGCAGGTTCTTAGGACCTAAGATTAAGGGCCCACCCGTTACTGTGTTACCAACGGCCTGCCTGCCTGCCTGTGTGCCTAGTCTCCTGACCGCGCGCGCCTCGGCTGCGCGCGCGCGTAGCTTTTTTTTAGCGCGCGCACTGCTGCTGCTGCTGCTGCTACTGCTGCTGCTGGCCCCCACTGGAACTCCCCTTCTGGCCGGTCCCACTCCCGCCCCCACCTCCACCGCCACCACCACTGCCTCCTCCCCCACTACCTCCGCTGCCACCTCCACCACTCCCGGTTCCACCGCCGCCCCACCCACCTCCTCCACCCCAACGACCACCCCCACCACCGCCACCACCCCCGCCGCCTCCACCACCGCTCCTTCAGGTGTTTCTCAGGTAGACCCTCCCGTGCCTGCGCCTGTTGAGGTCACTGGTGACTCAGGTCCTGTTGGGGGTGGTCCTGCTCGGGGTGCTATCTCTGGGGGTGCTGAGCCTGGGGGTGCGGAGCCTGAGTGTGAGGAGCCTGGGGGTGCGGAGTCTGAGCGTGAGGAGCCTGGGGGTGCTGAGCCTGGGGGTGCTGAGCCTACGTGTGCGGAGCCTGGGGGTGCTGCGTCTGGGGGTGCTGAGTCTGGGGGTACTGGGACTGCTGCCCAGCGGTCTCCTTGGAGTAGCCGTCTTCGTGCGCATGTGCCTCTCACCTCACAGCAGCTGCACGACTGGTACGGTCGCCGTCAGGGTCGCGCTTCTAGAGCTCGGGGCTCTGCTGCTGGAGGTACTTCTACTGCCGTCACTAGAGCTGGGAGTGGTGCTGGTCCCGGAGGTGCTCGTACTGGAGGTACTGGAGCTGCTGGGGCTGGAGGTGCTGCTGAGCCTGAGGGTACTCCTGGTGGAGACCATGGGTCTGGGGGTGCTGCTGCTGGAGACACTGAGGCTGGTGACCCTGGGACTGGAGGTGCTGGTTCTGGGGGTGCTTCTGCTAAGGGTGCTGGAGCTACTGAGGGTGCTGGAGCTGCTGAGGGTGCTGGAGTTGCTGGAGGTACTGGAGCTGCTAGGGGTGCTAGAGCTGCTGAGGGTGCTGGAGCTGCTGAGGGAGCTGGAACCGCTGGTGCTGGTGGCGCTGCGCGGCCACGCCTGTTCTTTGCTCCGCCTTCTCCGTCGTTTCTGCCACCGCCTGCCTCCGTGCTGAGCCAGGTTCTTAGCCTCCCGTCGTTTACTGGTCTTCCGTTATAGCCTGGCTCACCCCTGCCTGCTCCTTCTCCTTACGCTGAGCAGTCAGGAGGTCTTGGTGAGCGTCGTGAGCCTGCGTCGCGTCCTGTCTCGCCTGTCCGTTCTGGTCGTTCTGGTCGTCGTGTTCCTCGTCAGCGTAAGCCGGCTGTTCCAGGCACCCACCTTGTAGTCCGTCGTCTTTCCTCTTCTTCGCCTACTGTTCCTTTGCCGTCCCCTCCTGAGTCCTCTCTGCCTGTCGCTGCCGACCCTGAGTCTGACCAGTTTCGTACTTAGCACCCTACGGTCACGCGTCTGTTAGCCACTGTTGTCACTGACCCGTCGTTTGAGTCCACTGCTGCGTCTGCCCTAGTAGCTGAGCTTGTCGACTTTGCTGCTGCCTGCCGTCTAGACTACGCCGCTAGTCTTGTTGCTGAGTCTGAGTCTGTCTGTCCTCCGTCCGTCGAGGGTGAGTCTGCTCTTGGCACGGACGTCCTTGAGGACAGGCAGGAGGACCTTGAGTGTCTTGCAGCCGCTGCGCCTCATCTCGTGTCCATGCTGCTTGCCCCTGAGGGAGACCCGGATGCTCCATACATCCTGACCCCGCGCACTTAGGCTGAGGCGATCGCGGGTGAGTACTCCTCCCAGTGGCAGACAGCCATGGACGCAGAGATGGCATCCTGGAAGTCCACAGGCACCTACGTCGACGAGGTTCCCCCTCCTGGGGCGAACATTGTCAGTGGCATGTGGATCTTCAGGGTGAAGCGGCCGCCAGGTTCTCCGCCTGTCTTCAAGGCTCGTTACGTTGCTCGAGGTTTCAGTCAGCGAGAGGGAGTTGACTTCTTCCAGACCTTCTCCCCCACCCCGAAGATGACCACTCTTCGGGTACTGCTGCACGTTGCTGCTCAGCGTAACTACGAGCTTCACTCTCTTGACTTCACTGGGTCATTCCCTCCTGGTACCCAGTGGAGCCTCCGGCGGCCAGTCTACGGTCTCCGTCAGGCGCCGCGTGAGTGGCACGACACACTGAGGACGACACTTGCGGCTCTTGGGTTTGCTCCGTCGACTGCTGACCCGTCGCTGTTTCTGCGCACCGACACTTCGCTGCCGCCGTTCTACATCCTCGTGTACGTCGACGAATTGGTCTTTGCCACTGCTGACAGTGAGGCTCTCGCCCTGGTGAAGTCGGAGCTGCAGAAGAGACACACGTGCACAGACCTGGGTGAGCTGCGCAGCTACCTTGGCTTGCAGATCACCCGGGACAGAGCACGCTGCACCATCACACTGACTCAGTCACACATAGTGCAGCAGGTCCTTCAGCGCTTCGGCTTCACCTGGTCCTCAGCACAGGCCACTCCTCTGGCTACAGGTCACTCGCTCTCAGCTCCACCTTCGGACGAGTCCGTAGAGCCGAGTGGTCCTTACCCAGAGCTAGTGGGCTGCCTCATGTACCTGATGACCTGCACTCGTCCTGACCTTGCGTACCCTCTTGGCCTTCTGGCTCGCTACGTGGCTCCTGGTCGGCACCGAAAGGTGCACATGGATGCTGCTAAGAGGGTACTACGCTACTTGTGCAGTACATCGGGCATGGGGCTTGTGCTTGGAGGACGGGACGACGTTGTCCTCACTGGTCACTTGGACGCTTCTTGGGTTGACGACCAGGCTACGCAGCGGTCGTCACAGGGTTACACCTTCAGCCTTGGCTCTGGCTCTGTTTCCTGGCGTTCTACACGCTCGTCTTCCGTTCTCGGCTCCAGTTGTGAGGCTGAGATCTACGCCACAGCCATGGCTGCACAGGAGTTACGCTGGCTCACCTACCTGCTGGCCGACCTGGGAGAGCGGCCTCGTTCTCCTCCAGTGTTGTACGTCGACAACAAGGCCGCCATTGCCTTGTGTCATGAGCACAGACTGGAGCGCAGAACGAAGCATATCGCTCTGCGTTACTTCCTGGCTCGAGAGTTGCAGCAGCGTGGTCAGCTTCGTCTTGATTACGTGGCCACTCGGGCCAACACTGCTGATATTTTCACCAAGGCACTTCCGCCTGGTGATCATCAGCGCTTTTGTACCTTGTTGGGCCTTGTGCCTACGTTTCCTCACTTACTGTAGGCTTTACCTGTACTGTGATCTATATATATACCTACATGCTTACACCTGCTAGGTTGTGATCACTGTATTGCTTGTGCTTTTATAACTCTGCATGTGAACTGGCCTTGTGGCATATTGTTTGTGCTCAGAGTGTGTGGTGACTTTGTGATCCACCCTGAGCTGTGCTTTGTTTCTTCTCTTGACTGGTCTTGTGACCATTGTCCTTGCTTTGGCTATCCCCTATTTCGCCTATGGGGGTGTGTCAAACTTTATGTTTATTGTTTAGTTAGGCTGTATTGGGGCTAGCTATAGGGGGTACACAATTTCCCTCGACATTCTAGTCTTGTACCCACCTTGACCTAATAACATCATTCTTGCCTAGGTATCTTAACAGTTATGTGCGGCAAAAAGTGCAAATTCAGGGTTCATGTCACAGCTAGGGGTACAATCTATTGTTGAAGCATCGCACACAGCACCTAGACCCTACATTTTGTCAGAAACAGCACTACCATCACCTCCTACCGTACTTCTGTCTTTGCTCTACGGTGCTTTTCCTTATGCTGTCTACTCCTCCTCATCGTCCCCTGCGTGCCACTCGTCACACTCTTCTCCGTCATAGCGGCCAAGGCGCCACCAATCATCATCCACCTCGTTGCACTCTCCCGCCTCACCGCCTTCTTCAGGCGCGTTCCACTCCTCTTCTGCCGCCGCCGCTGCCTCCTCCGCCTCCTCAGCGGCGTCATCCTCCTCTGCCGCCTGCAGCTCCTCGGGCGGCACGGGGGCCTCGGAATAGAACGGGTTGACGACGAGCTCGTCGTCAACGAGGTCGTTGACGTCGTCAACGACCTCGACCTCACCCTTGTCCCGCATGTGGGCAAGGATGAGGTGGTCTTCAGTGCCATCGATCTTGGCGGAGATCCCACAGGTGACGAATGCTTTCTTCACAAGCTCCTCTGGGACAGCTTCCCAGGACTCGTCGATCCAGCATTCGCTGTCACTCAAACGAAAGTTGCACAGACGGTAGGGGCCCTGGCTTCAACTCACCTGCGCGAGTGGTTTGGTTGATGCCGTCTTCCTCGAACCATCCGCTGTAGCGGGAACGCACCCCGCACTTGAACGCGCGGTTCACTGACACATCCAGAGGCTGCACAAGCAGTGTGCAGCCCCCTGGGATGACCGCCCTTGACAACCTGAACATCCGCATCGTCTGGCCGACGGCTGTTAGAATACTAGGAAGGGATGTGAATTAGGTAAGAGGGAGGGGGTACAAGGATGTCGAAAGAGTTGGGTTGTACCCTCTAAGGTGTGACCCCTACACAACCTAGAGTAAGATGAACAGAACAATATGTTTTGACACACCCCCATAGGTGAAGTAGGGGATAGCCAAACCTAACAGTGGTCACAAGACCAGTCAAGCAAGAGAACAAGCAAAGCAAAGCCTAGGGTGGATCTCAAGGACACCACACAATCTGAGCACAAGCAGGCTGCCACAAGGCCATGCAGATTTATAATAGCAAGACAGTACATCGATCACAACCTAACAAGAGTAAACATGCAGGTAAAAAGATATATAGCAATGTACAACAAGAGCAAGTCAAGCAACCAGCAGGTGAGGCAGAGTGGGCACAAGCCCAAGAGCAGTGCAGAAACGCTGATGATCACCAGCCCCAAGGGCCTTGGTGAAGACATCAGCAGTGTTGGCCTGAGTGGCCACGTCAGCAAGACGAAGCTGACCCCGCTGCTGCAACTCTCGAGCCAGGAAGTAGCGCAGAGCAATGTGCTTCGTTCGGTGCTCCAGTCTCTGCTCGCGACACAAGGCAAGCATTGCCTTGTTGTCGACGTACAGAACTGGAGGAGAACGAGGCCGCTCCCCCAAGTCGGTCAGCAGGTAGGTCAGCCAGCGGAGCTCCTGTGCAGCCATGGCCCCAGCGTAGATCTCGACCTCACAGCTGGAACCAAGCACAGAAGAAGAACGAGTGGACCTCCACGAGACAGAACCAGAGCCAAGACTGAAGGTGTAACCCTGTGACGAACGCTGAGTCGCCTGGTCGTCGGCCCAAGAAGCGTCAGAGTGTCCTGTGAGGACCACCGAACCCCGTCCTCCAAGCACGAGCCCCATGCCCGATGTGCTGCACAAGTAATGCAGTACCCTCTTCGCAGCATCAAAGTGCACCTTTCGGTGTCTACCGGGTGCCACGTAGCGAGCCAGAAGGCTGAGAGGGTACGCGAGGTCAGGTCGTGTGCACGTCATCAGGTACATGAGGCAGCCCACAAGCTCTGGGTACGGACCACTCGGCTCTACGGACTCGTCCGAAGGTGGAGCTGAGAGCGAGTGGCCGGTAGTGTGAGAGTACGACTGCTTATGCTGGCTTTGCTAGCTTGCCTGAACTTTATTATGCTATATCTAGCTTGGGTTTATTTTATCATGCATAGATATGCTTGATTTCCTAGGTTAGGTGCATTCCTATACTTTATTATAGTTATAGCACCGAACCAGGTTACGTGTACCGAACTCAAGCCTATTCGGTTTCCACCGAATTGCTTTCTACTGAGTTCGGGAAGGTTCTGTTCGGGACGCTTCGCGACCCTCAGAACATTCGCGTAACGCCTGGGTAACTGGCCTTGTGTCGAGACTATATATAGCCTCGTGTTGTACCCAGGTGGATCATTCAATCACAATTCTCTTTTCTGAGCTCGATCCTAGATCCTCACAGGTAGCCAGAGGAGTGGGTTGTGGCGAGGAGTACGTGAAGCGGAAGCGCTGAAGGACCTGGTGCACCATGTGTGACTGAGTCAGGGTGATGGTGCGCCGTGCTCTGTCCCGGGTGATCTGCAAGCCAAGATAGCTCCGCAGCTCACCCAGGTCAGTGCAGGTGTGTCTCTCCTGCAGCTCCGCCTTCACTAGGCCCAGTGCCTCAGTGTCAGCTAGCAAAAACCAAGTCGTCAACGTACACGAGGATGTAGAACGGCGGCAGAGAAGTGTCGGTGCGTAGAAACAGTGACGGGTCAGCAGCCGAAGGAGCAAACCCAAGAGCCGCAAGTGTCGTCCTCAGTGTGTCGTGCCACTCGCGATGCGCCTGACGCAGGCCGTACACTGGTCGCCGTAGGCTCCACTGGGTACCCTCAGGAAACGACCCAGTGAAGCCCTGTGGACGGCGCAACCAGATGGCCTCGTGAAGGCTACCCTGTAAGAAAGCTGTCGAGAAGTCGAGGGAGTGGAGCTCGTAGTCACGCTGAGCTGCAACGTGTAGCAACACCCGAAGAGTGGTCATCTTCGGGGTGGGGGAGAAGGTCTGAAAGGAAGCCTCGAGCAACGTAACGTGCCTTGAAGGCAGGCGGAGAACCCGGCGGCCGCTTCACCCTGAAAATCCACATGCCACTGACGATGTTCGCCCCAGGTGGGGGAACCTCGTCGACGTAGGTGCCTGTGGACTTCCAGGAAGCCATCTCTGCGTCCATGGCTGTCTGCCACTGAGAGGAGTACTCTCCCGAAATCGCCTCCTTGTAGGAGCGCGGGGTGGGGATGTCAAGTGCATCCGGGTCTCCCTCAGGGGCAAGCAGCATGGTCGCGTGATGGGGTGAAGCGGCAGCATGGCACTCCAGCTCCTCCTATCTGTCCTCAAGAACGTCACAGCCAAGGGCAGTACAGCCAAGAGCAGTCTCACCCCCGACGGACGGAGGACAGGCAGGGACAGGGTCAGAGACAAGACTCGCAAGGTAGTCTAGGCGGTACATAGCAGCAAGGTCAACGAGCTTAGCTACTAGGGCAGACGCAGCAGGAGACGGGAACGTAGGGTCCGTCACAACCGTAGCAAGAAGGCGAGTAACAGTTGGACTGGACGCACGAGCAAGGTCAAACGGAGGGTCAGCAACGTCAGGCAAAGAGGACGCAGGAGGTAACGGTAGGACAACACGCTGAGGAATAGAGGAAGGACGGAGTGTCATATCGTGAGTGCCGGGGACAGCCGGAGCACGCAAACGACGAACACGAGGAACACGAGCACGGACAGCAGCTCTAGGCTCAGGCTCAAGGTCAAAGCTAGACTCAGGCTCTCGATGCTCAGGGGTGGAAGCACGAGTCTCAGGCTCTCGACGCTCAGTCAGGGACTCTGACACCGCAGTGTAAGGAGCAGGAGCAGGCAGTGGGGAGTGTGGTAGCAGTGGTGGCTGTGACTGGTCCGCCGGTGGACACAGCAACGAAAGAGTAGTATCTGCCACACGGAAGCCAGTAGCACCTGGCTGAAGGCTAAGAAGGTGGCGAAGGGCACCAGTAGCTCCACCAGGACCTCCAGCACCTCCAGCACCTCTAGCCCCAGCAGCTCCAGCACCTCTAGCACCTCTAGCACCAGAAGCACTAGCAGCTCCAGTACCCCTAGCACCTCCAGCACCAGCAGCACCTCCAGCACCTCCAGCACCAGCAGCTCCACGGCCTCCAACACCAGCAGCACCTCCAGGACCTCCACCACCAGCAGCACCAGCAGCTCCAGTACCCCTAGCAACTCCAGCACCTCCAGCACCAGCAGCTCCACGACCTCCAGCACCAGTAGCACCTCCAGTACCTCCAGCACCAGTAGCTCCAGGTCCTCCGGTAGGAGCTCTGACGACACCAACACCAGAAGGACTCGCAGCACCCCCAGAGTCAGCACCCGAACTTGCAGCACCCCCAGAGTCAGAACTCTCGGTCTCAGCACTCTCAGGCTCAGTACCCTCAGTCCCAGCACTCTCAGGCTCAGTACCCTCAGTCTCTGCTCCAGTGTCCACAGCAGCAGGCTGCAGAGGCGGCGAAGACGGCAGAGGTGGGAACCCGGGGGGAGTAGCCAGACGAGGAGAGCGGGCACCCCCAGACTCACCACCCCCAGCCCCAGCTCCAGTAGTCTCAGCTCCAGAGTCCACAGCAGCAGGCTGCGGAGGCGGCAAAGACGGCCGTGGCAGGAAACCCGGGGGGGTCTCCAAGCGAGGAGTGCGGCGAGTGGTCGCCGTGTCATCGGCGACGGCGTCACCCCCCTCAGGTGAGTCAGAGGAGTCAGAAGAGATCTCAACTGGCTCATCCACGGGGGGTGGGTCTACCTGAGACACACCTGAGGGAGCAAGACCCTGTGGGGGAAGGGGGTCTACCGGGGGGGGGACTGGTACCAGGAAGAGAGGTGCGAGGGGGACCGGGTGGGACGCGTGCGGGTGAAGTCGGTAGTAACAGACCGACTCGTCGAAGGTGACTTCCTGAGAGGATAGAATACGACGCGAGGCAGGGTGGTAGAACTGCCAGGGTGGAGCGTCGGTGGGGAAGCCCAGGAAGACACAGCGGAGAGTGCGAGGGGAGAGCTTTCTCGCTTTGGTATCGCGAATAAGGGAGAGCGCGCCCCAGACCCGAAACGACGACGCATCACCGGGCTGTCCCGTCCAACGGAGTGTGGGCGAGGTCTCTGGAGCAGAGACACGGGGCCAGAGGTTGAGCTGATGCGCGGCGTATCGGACCGCAAACGGCCACAGGAAATGGGGAGCAGCCGCATGGATCATGGAGGTACGAGCAACCTCCATGATCAGGCCAATGCGACGCTCAACGATCCCATTTTGCTGCGGAGAGGCCGGAAGTGTGAACGACTGGGCGATGCCCTCAACCTGGCAGAACGTCTCAAGGACGCCAGAGGAGAACTCACCACCCCTGTCAGAGTGCAGACGCAGGACTGGAAAGTCCCGCCGAAACCGCTCGCGCAGCTGGTGACGAGTAGCACGGATCCAGGGGATCAAGACACCACTGACATCCGCCTTGCGCCGCAAGGGGAAGACTGTGGTGTAGCGTGTGTAGTCGTCAACCACCAGCAGGAAGTAGCGCTCCTGGTCCGTTCCACCGACGCGAGCCGGGCCCCACACGTCCAGGTGGAGAGTCTGCAGAGGAGCAGTGGTCGGAGGAAACTCGGAGGAGTGAGGAGCGGCGCGCTGCCGCCCCTCGACGCAAGGAAGGCACGACGGCGCAAGCGAGCGCGGGAGGGGGGGCAGGGTCGCAGGGAGGCCAGAGACCAGGAGCCGGGAGTGCATACCGCGCAGACGCAGCTGCGACGGGTGGCCAAGACGGTGGTGCCAAAACAGCGCAGGGTGGGTGAGGAGGCGACACGAGCAGGACGCAGCGAGCTCACCGGACGCAGCCACTTGACCAGACGCAACTACCTGTGCAGACGCTGTGGTGAGTGTGTACAGGTTCGACCCCGG